GGAGCTCAAAAGTGTGGGAAATTTTTAAGAAAATGAAAGAGAAACCTGTGCAATATCTGCAGAGCKGAACTTGCCTTCCACAGCAYTTATTTTTAGTTAGRATATAGCTAAAATCTAACCATGGTTATACAATAGCAGCTGCATTCTAACGTGATKAGCTGTATGTTTTATATTCAATTAACGTATGATCCGATTAGTCGACTAATCGAATAAATAATCGGTGATTAATCGATTATTAAAATAATCGTTTGTGGCAGCCCTAACACACACACACACACATTGAGAGTCATGACTCACACAGACACAATTCTTAAACACAATATCTCAGCTGGATAAAGGTTTCCTGTAGATTAGTTCTCCATGAACTCCTCCCAGTCTGTAAACTTCTTTCCTCTGCAGGAAGGCCTGAGGACGCTCTGTGTTGCTTATCGGTGCCTGAGCCCTGAACAGTACCAGGAGGTCTGCCATCTGCTGAGCAGGGCCAAGTTGGCGCTGCAGGACCGAGACAGACAGCTGGCCGAGGCTTACGACCTCATCGAGAAAGACCTGATACTGCTGGGAGCTACTGCTGTGGAGGACAGGTGGAGAATATTTCACAATAGAAAAATGTTCTGTAGAAAGGTTTCTGTTACACAGCAACACAGGCAGCAGGAATTTGGATTGCTTCAAATGCTAAAGTACTCCTGAATAAAATACCTTTTTTCAACATCAAATACCCATCAAGTGCTTTTATGTGTGCTACTGCTCTGAGGAAGTACTGTCCTAGTTGTTTGATGAATATCAGGTGCAGCTGAGGCTATTAAAGCTACATCATTTGTTCACCCAGAGGAGAATGAAAGTCATTTCGCTCTGAACTAACTTTAATTGTTACAGTTCATGTTTCTGTAATTGCCGAGTAACAACAACCCCTCCTTGCTCCATTGTTTTTCTTCCACAACAGGCTGCAGGAGAAAGCAGCCGACACCATTGAGTCCCTCCACAAAGCTGGCATGAAGGTGTGGGTGCTGACCGGAGATAAGATGGAGACCGCATCTGCTACGTGCTACGCCAGCAAGCTGTTTCGCCGCAACACCCAGATCCTGGAGCTGACCACCAAGCGCACGGAGGAGCAGAGCCTTCACGACGTCCTGTTTGACCTGAGCAGGACAGTGCTCAGGCATTACGGGGGKATGACGCGAGAAACCTCCTCTGGGTGCGTGCTTGTCTGTTAGTCACTGAAGAAAACGAAAAAGGACGATAATTTATGTTTGGCTTGTCTCGTGTTGGTTCAGTTTATCTGACGACTACACCGACTTTGGCCTGATAATCGACGGAGCCACCCTCACGGCAGTTATGAGACCAGGCCAGGAGGGCTCCAACTCAGGGAACTACAAAGAGCTCTTCCTAGATATCTGCCGCAACTGCAGCGCCGTGCTCTGCTGTCGAATGGCGCCGCTTCAGAAAGCGCAGGTACAATCTATATCTATCTTTTTATRTATCTATGCCCATCACCCCATGTGGGGCATAGGCCGTCTGAGTTTTTTCCWTTGCATCCTGTTTTGGGCCCAACTTCCTAGGTCACTCAATGTGAGCCCTAATCCAACTGTTCTTCAGTCATCCTCTTTTCCTTTAACCCACTGGATCCCATCCAACGGGTTATAATATTTTTTGTGGTTGAACTTTAACAAGAAATCAATCAGAATTTGCTCCTGTGTATAATACGACCCCCACCCCCAACTTTATTTTGGGGTTAAATATTTTGTGTTATAAAAATATAATACAGGAAGATGAAATATAAATGTGTTTATGATGATCCATATAGGAAGTCATTGGTGTGATTTTATTTATTTTATTTTTATATCTTTTTCAGATCGTCAAGATGATCAAAACATCCAAAGAACATCCGATCACTCTCGCTATTGGAGACGGTGCTAATGATGTCAGCATGATCCAGGAGGCCCATGTTGGCATCGGTTAGTGTTCTGACATTGTGGCCAATGTTACAGAAACAAGAAATAAAACATTACATTTGGAGTAGGATATCAAAATCTCAAACTTGAAACAGTTGTCACTAGTTGCTCTGGTGCTCTAAGTTTAATATTTATTTATTCATTTAAAGAGCACTAATTTAAGAAGCACCATCTTAAAGTTTTAGTATTGCTTAATATTGGACTTGTTTTTTTGTCATGTTACACTTATCCACCATGAAAAGTTTAGTGTTTGTTCATTTGTCTGTTAGCAAAATATCTAARGAACCACTGGACAGCTTAATGAAACTCTCAGAAAGTAATCATTGGATGTTCCTCTACAACTGAGTACATCTGATCCAAGATTTAATCAAGACAAAAKTGATTTTAACTCAGCCATTTTTATAGATATTGAGGCAAAATTTGGTGTGGTAGTAGCTGAAACTCATCCCCAACATAAACTCAGAGCACTTGTAATTCATGCAAGAACTTTGTTCGAAACATTAGGATACAAGGAAGTGGTTGACATAAGCATTCCTTCAAGGAATGCTTGTGTCATCTATCTGTTTATGGACGGTCTTAATAGAGGGATAGGTTGGATCTTTTAATTGTTCCAAAAAAGTGTTATTTCAGTGTTACTCCAAAACTTGTTACGGGTGCTCTTAAGTGGCCGTGATAGCTTGGTGGTCAGTGTTGTGGTCTTGTAATCCTGAAGCTGCAAGTTTTAGCCCAGGTTGTGTCGGGAAGGGAGTCGTGTGTAAAGCAATTGTCAAYTCTTGTGTTTTGTTCACACTCTGGCCATTCCTGCAGAATGGAGCATTGAAAAGAGAAAATAAAATGACCGATGCTCCTAAACATGAACTTAAATAGTTGCCAGTAAAATATGTTGCTTTTAGACTCCTTCTCAATAGGCAAAACCAATTTATTAAAGTGAGGAGTGATCCATKCTGGTCCTTGAGGGCCACCATCCTGCATGTTTTAGAGGTTTCTCTGCTCCAGCACACCTGATTTGAATGAATGGGTGATTAATAGGCTTCTGCAGAACTTGAAGAGGTAATTTAATAATTGAAGCAAGAGAGTTGGAGCAGGGAAACAAGTAAAACATGCAGTATTACGGCCCTCGAGGACCAGGATTGGACACCCCTTCATCAGACAAAAAGAGCTAATCTGGATTCTGTTTTATTAATRCAGCATGTTTGGMTWT